ATTAACAAAATCAAATATCAGAATTTATTTTTTAGAGATGATGGTCACTAAATATAATATTTGCTAGCTCTCCAATGTAGGTGAAATTTCTACATTTTAAAATCTTTTTAGAAAATTCATCTTACTGAAAAATATTCTAACAATTTAAAAGTATTTTGTCCAAATTGTTTGCACACCTACATATAAAATCAGTATCTCAATATTTCTATAGCTATATGGTAACTATGAACTTTTTGGTTCCTTAAAAAAAACTAAAAGAAATATCAAGATGTAAAAGTTTGGAGGAAAATTCTTTTATGTTGCCCAGGCTGGCCTTGAACTCATGCTCTGCAGTGAACCCTGCCTTGGTCTGGAAAACAAGTTTTCAATCTGATTATCTCACTTACTGATTCTAGAAGAGTGTCTAAAATTTTTATAGAAGAATTGACTAAAATCTATGGGAAACCTTGGTAAATTAATTTCCTACAAATAAATATGTATTCTAAGACATCTTTCTCTATAACCATGGGTGTATGTTTACATGTTTTACTGAACATAGCTTACCAGGGGAAAAGTCTCAATAAAAACATGAAAATAGGTGAGAAATTTGACCTAGAAAATATTTGGGTTATGTTTTCCTATTCTTCTTTATAGATTGAACCTGTTAAAATTTCTGTTTTTGAATATTGATAATTTTATAATAATTCAATCTGCGATATTCAGAAACTCTCCATTTATTGTTTCTCCTTCTGAGTTGTTAGCAAGCTAATATAAGAGTAATTCTTGTATTCAAGAATTTGTCTAATATGGACTTCAAACCTCTTTTCATAAATTTTCAAGAGTGAGATTTTGTAGAGCTAGACGGGAGTCTGCAATCACCCATCCTGGTTTCCCATTTCAGGAAATATTTTTGTTTTCTCTTTAGAGATTCCTCCTTTGGTTATCATTAGTATACTTCAGTTAGGGTTACAGTTAGGAGTAGGGTTCTTCTTTCCAGATCTCCAAAAGGAAAATTAAATCATTTGGGTAACTTTGACTTGGAATGGTCACTTGTCTCAAAGTCTAAATCAAACATCACTATAGTGACCTGGCTTTATTCAGAGGTGTGAAATTATGGTTAATGAACAAAACTTAATTTTAAAGGTGGGCGAACTAGTTTATTTCTGTCATCTCACTGGAGTTTTCTGATTCTGAGGTTCTTTCTTCTTTCAAAATTTTTTTTTTTTAATCTGGAAAATGATTATCTCTTGTGTCTACCTGTACGAGTGTATTCATAGATTTAAAAGGAAAATTTATCTTTGTCATTATTCAGGTTCTTTTCTTTACAATGTTCTTTAAAAACAATGTCAGTATATGAAAGTCCATTTTCCAAAATTTTTATTTTTAGGTCAAATATTGGTTAAAAACTAGATGACATTTCAATAGAAGTTGAGTGTTGGGTGGAAGGTAAGGTGAGGAATAGAAAAACTTCTTTTGGTTTTAGCAGCAAGTCTTAATTATTTTTGTGTATGTTTTGTTAACTCAGTGTACTCTGAAGCCATTCAGGTATTAACAATAAGATGGTAATAATATAAGGAATTATTTAGGGACTTTTTTAGGCACAGTGGCTTGCAGGTGAGTTGTACTTAAAATTATTCATTCTTTTAAAAGATGAAACACAGGTTTCTCAGATTATTTTTCAGATATTATTTATGGAGCATAAGAAACTGAGGAAGTTGATATGAAGGACATAGAAACATATGAAATATATTTCTTAAAAACAGATAAAAGATTTTTACTATAGTTTTGTTAAATAAAAAATTGACAGGTACTTTAATTTGATTGAAAAGATTTCAGTGTTTCTCTTATCATTAACTAAGCTAAATATTATTGTGAATATAAAAAAATGACATTATTAAAGCTGTGAATTTGGAAATTACACCTTGCCCAATATTATACTATTTGCCTAGGATTTGGATGATGGGATAATACCAAAACCAAAAATATGTTTAACAATTTTAATAAAAATATGGGTTGATCTCTGTGGGTTTATTAAGACATGCATTTTCTTGAAGCACCGGGAAAGACTAATGTATATGTGAATATTTATCACTGTGTTAATTTGATTACCTTAAGAATCAAAACTATAAAAATTATTTGTCCACCTGAATGTGCTGTGGAAACAGCATATTTCTTTGATTTCAAGGTCAATTTCTATCTAAATAAATGACATTACTAATGGGAAAAGACAAAAATCCTTCCCTTTTTTTGTTTTTGTTTCCAACTAAAATGTATAGCAGTGAAGCAATGAAAAATTATTGTTTTTTTTAATAACTAAAATTAAGATTTAAACTTTGCTCTACCATTTTCTGTTGGTGAAATAGCATGTTGGAAATATAAATATTAATATCTCTATATCATCATACACCACTAGAAGTAAGACTTAAATGTTCTTGTTCTCTCCATGTTCATAGTGAAACAATCATCTTAAAGATAAAATTCCCCAAGCATCTTCAAGTTTCAGCAATTATACTTTCCATGTATATTCTAATTGTAATGGAAAGAGTTCTCAGAAAAATTAATCGGAACAGATTTCAAGGATTAAAATTTATTCAACTTAATCATTCTTATTTTTCTTTTGTTTACAATTTATATTGCGCCTGTTTCAACAAAATGGTTGAGGGAACAACCCACTTTCAAGAACTTTAAAACACAAACAAAGTTACTCTAATGAATTTGGTCTCTTCAGATATTTCCCAAGGGGCAGGGCAGCTGTCCTGCTGTCTCTCTGTCACCTTTGTACCCACCTGTATTGCAGAGAGGTCCATGCTACCTCTCTCTGCTGATGCTGTGCCTGGGCCATCTTCCCTGTGAGTGCTGCATCACCCAGTCATTCTTCACTTATGTAGCTCACAAAATTCTGTGACTTTTATGTGTTTTATGATAATGGCATAATGATGATACTTAGAACTTGCACAACTTTTTAGGTTCAAAGTGCTTTCCAAACATTTATTAATTAATTTTAAAATGTTAGTAAAACATGAGCTGTATATATTCCACTCCATAAAATATAAAATAGTCATATGACCCAAGTGGGGGTGAAATTTAAATCCCAGTTATGGTAACTGTGGAAGCAGAAGGGCTACATGATTCAAGAAGTTTTGGGTTTTATCTGTTAGAAGACCAGTGTCTGTTCTCACTCTCTAGATTGCTCTTTGGAAAATGATGGCAATTTCTTTTTTGCTTTTCAATGAAAAGCCAATGACTCTTAAAGCTCTAACCTTCCATTAGGATCTGAATGCTTTCCAGGTCATAATTCTCTTGCTTCCTTCAATCATGTATCATCCTTTCATGAATTCATTCTTGAAATTCTTACTGCTATGTTAATATTAGTGCCCATTAAAGAGTGTTTGATACTCTGAAATCTGCAGGGTGATGATTTATAATTTAAAAATACACGGTTTTAATCAGTAATTCTCTATAAAGTTTTGGACAGCATTCTGGCTTTTAGCAGCCAATTTTGACATTGGTTTGGAGACTAGGCAGGACACACCTTAATGTTTAGTGACCTGGAATGGAAGAAAAAGAATTTGCCAGAGGCCAGGAACACAGTCATGGAAGATCTAGGTACTGTGCTGGCAAAGAAGGTCTCCTTATGTAACAGATTTTGTTAAAGGTACACATCCTCCTTATACAATCAGGTAGAATCATTGTCCTACCTATCTTATCTCCTTTCTTCCTAAAACATGTATAGTAAAAAAAAAAGACAAAGGAATCATATTTATGTTAGAATGAAAAGAATTATAGTGGCTCTTTGCATATCAGGTATTAATAGTACACTGATCATATCTATCTACATTCTTTAAATATGTCTCATTAATTATATTTATTTGAACATGCCAGACATTAGATTTTTGCCTGTGTGTTTAAAATACTTATTGTATTCTTCCCATGCTAATTTGTCTATTCATCTTTTAGGGATAGTCTAATTCTACTTTCTCCATGTGAGAGTCTCAAAACAGTGCATTATCATTTGAATCTCATAAACACCAATAGACCCACAGTATCTTACAATAAAACATTCACAGACCTTTGCATATATTAAACCAGGAATCAGATGGGAATCTCCCTGAATTATTGACCTAGAATGGTAAAAATATCCAGATACAAGGTACTTTCTTCCTTCACTGATCAAAAAATATGTATTTAACACATACTACAGGGTTGGCATTATGCTAATTAAAGTATTAGAAATAATACAATTAAATGTTTACAGTTTCATGGTAAAGGAAGTCAAACTGACAATTAAAATATATCAACATAAACACTGGAGTATGCATGGAGCTCTTTCGAACATAGACATGAAAGCTAATCCTATGTTGTTGGTGGGAGTCAGAGAATGAGAGGTTTAGAAGTATTTAAGGAAAAACATAGTATGATACCTTTAAGAAATTTTGTAGATGGATGCCATAGAAGAATGTTGTATGACAGTTATAATCCTAAAATTTCTCTTAAACTCCATAATTTTATATATTTGAAAGTGTCTTCTCTATCAACCTAACATTTATTATGAGGTACATTAGAACACTTTCAGAAGTGAAAGGTATTTTTCCTGTTTTTCTTTTTTCCTTATTATAACTATTATGTTCACTTTATGTGTTATTAAAATCAATTAATCAACTGACCATTGGATTGAAATGTTAAAAACTAATTTTTTTTTTTTTGGTATGGGGGATTGAACTCAGGACATGGTGCTTGTGAGCCAGGCAGTGGAACCACTGAGCTACCATCCCCGGCCCTTGTTAAAAACTAATTTTTAAATTATTATTAACTTACATTTTGATATATATGGTAAATGAAACCTCAATACCTTTTGGTAATTATCATGGAGCAGAATTGAATGTTTCTGAACATAAAATATAAACTAAAGAAGGCAGAATGCAAAATTTGCTTTACATTGTGACTTTAAACTGTCTAAAATTATGTGAATTTAGGTGAAGACTGAAAGAATTTGGAAAGTGATAATTATTATGATTGCACAGTGTTTTTAATTTATTCCAACTATTATTATGTTGTGTACACATTATTTTTAAATGAAGGGGTATTTACAATTTTTTCTCATTCATTTATAGACACTTTTGAACATTTCAGGTAGAATTAAAAAATGGATATTTTAAAAAATTAAGTATAAAATATATGTTCTTCACTATCCAGTCTTCAAATAGAAAACATTTTATGAAGGAAAATTTCATTAGCAGTGAGGAGACAACACAGGGTAAACATAAATATATATTAATGTTTAAAAGGCAGTTAGGTCGGCAGCCTGAGCCCAAGGTGATGTGAAGTTGTAAAAATACATGTGAGACGGGCCTAGGGAAACATCAGAAAGTAAAAGTTTATAAAAATAAAAGAGCCAATTCAACATGCCTGAAAAGAGGAGGACCCACTTGGAGCTACTCAGAGAAGTTCAACTAAAAACACAGGTAGTTGGAAGAAAGGACATGCATCCTGATGCCAAAATCAATCTGAAATAGGAGACTTGTTGATCAAATGAAGCATAAGGACAGTACTTTATAAAACAGAGTACCAGCTCACAGGGCTGCCAGCAGCCCTTCCACCTGCACACTGAGCAAGAATTGCCACACTGGGAAGTCTCCAAGAAACTGATGGACTCCAAAAGTGTGGCTAACTCAAGCCACTCTGGGTAGACTTGGAATATAAGTCCCTTTGCCTCGTTTGCCTTCCTCCACACAGAGGATGCTGCAGGCTGGCGGCAAATTTCTCAGGCACACACAGAGGAGCGGAGGTGGTGAAAGAGTGAGTGATGACCAGTGGCTAGAGAGAAAGATGAAGACACACGGGACAGGATAGAGACACCAGCGGGGGCAGAACAGAGGAGGTATGTCGACTGGGAAGAGCCAACTGTACATGGGACTGGGAGCAGGCGTGGGCTATCCCCTCTTGAGGGTGCCAGAGCAACTGGGAGAGCAACACAGAGACAATGACAGTACAGAGATGTAGGTGGGCCATCAAGGGAAATCCAGAGAGTTACTGGCTTAAGACTGGCCCAGCCCCCATATCCAGAGGCCAAGATCAGCCCCATACCCAGCACTAATCCTACTGCAGACTTGGCAGTGTTACACAGCATAGTTTTGGAACACAACTTGCCTAGACACTACCACAGAACTGTGGACACCAGAGGAATTTTATTATTTGTTTTTCTTTCATTTTTCTTTTCTGTCTGGTTGTTGTTGTTTTTTTTTAATTTTGTTGTGTGGGTTTTTACCTTTATTTTTATTTTGTTATACTCATTTTTTTTCCTCTCATTCCTCACCTGTCTTGATTTTATGATATTTTCATGTGAATGAAAATTGTCTTTATGGTTCACTTCAACATTTTTTTTTGCTTTATCCTTCATTCTTTCTTTACTGTCCTCTTCTCAAGTTCCCCAAAGCTTGGGTGATCATCCTTTGTCCTCCAGCCTTTCCTCTACTATATTGTCCTTCATTTATCTCTCTGTTTTGTCCCCTACCCCTGCTAAATCTCCCCCTCTCAGGATAAAATCATTTCACTAAGGGGAAACTCATTGTATACAAGTTCCTGGTTTAGGTTGGATTTTGTGATATAACTATAGATCTTGCTCCTATGGTTAAAGGTGCCAAATTAACAGTTACCACGGTTTGTCAATTTCTAGGCTGTCCTTGATGCTATTGTTATTGCTAATTATACTACTTTAGCTAGGATGTCATACCTGTTGTAATCAGTTGTTTTCCCTTGTATGAAAACACTGCAATTGTTGGGGGTCCTAACTACCACCATAGTCCAGTACTTGGATATGGAGCCAAGTAGATAGGAACTTCTCATCCTTAATGAATTGGGAAGGTAGAATCTTGGGACAAACACAAAGATCAAGAACCACATATACCCAGAAGACATTTTGGAGGAATAGACATTTCCTAGGGAAGGTTTGATACAATTGATAAAGCTATCTGCCATAAGAATTTATAAGCATCAACGCAGAAAATAAAATAAAATTAAAAATAGAAAATGACAAGATGCCAAAACAAAATACAGCCCCAGACCTCCAGTCCACCCAGAACAAGTCCAGGGGACAAGATAGAGGAAATCAGAAGCTGCCCACCTGAATTTTCAAAATAATATCAGCAAAAGAAAAAGAGCAGATGCCCAAGACTATAGAGAAAATATTCAAGTAACAAAAGAAATGGTGATCAAAATGAAGGTCATACTCAATGAATGTAGAGTAACATAGATTAAAAAAAAATAGAAGAGCTCAGGAATAGAATGGAAACCATGAATGCCCAACATAGGAAAGAAATGGAATCTATGAAACAGATTCAAACAGATATCCAGGAGATTAAAAATTCCATTGGAAGTATATGCAACCCATTGAATGAAGGTGAGGACAGAACATCAGATCTAGAAAACAGGATTATAGTTAGTAACTATGTAAAGAAAGATATCTTAAAAGTAGCAAGAGCTCATGAAAAATCAATCCAACAGTGGCAAGATGATACAAAAAAGAACAACCTAAGATTGCTCAGAGTCAATGAGAAAGCCAGAGACAGCACAAATGTCATTAAAAACCTGTTCACAGAACTGACAGAAAACTTCCCAAACATGGAGAAAGAATTTGACATACAAATAAGTGAACTCCAATTAGCCATGACCAAAATAAATCTACACCAAGGCATATAATTTTCAAGATTCCAGAAATTCAGCACAAAATTGAATATTAAAAGTGGTTAGGGAAAAGAAACAAATCACCTTAAAGCAAAGCTCATCAGAGTCGCAGTGGATTTCTCAATGCAAACCCTTAAGTTATCGAGAGCTTGGAGTGAGGTA